ATAAATAATAATTTATTCAATATTCCTACTTTATTGACTTTTTCTGCAACAAATCTATGAGCTAGTTTGCAGTCCGCAGAAAGAGGTCGCGGTTTGAACTTTGAACAAAGACTTTTAAAAGCCATTATGACATCAATACGTTGGAGTGCTTATTCCTAAGCTTTGTTAATGAGCTTTCTGATTTACATAACAGCTATTTAAAGGGTAAGTTTAAATGTTTAAAAAAAAACAATCGGGGCATAATTGATGTCTCCCGTGACTGCAGTGGCACATAGTGGAGTTTTGAATTCACAAAATCAGTGAAATGTTTGTTATATTAAGGTAAGAATCATAATAAAAATGATTCGCAAAATATGATGGTAACCGCAAAACTCCAAGAAAAAGCTGGAAAAAAGCTGGAAAAAGTTCAAGTATTTTTTTTAAATTATACCTTGAATTCAGAGGAATTCTGAGGTTTTTATAGAACAAAAAATTAATAAAAAGTTTAGTTTTATTCTGGAAAAACGAATAATCTTTACGGGGTAGCATATCTAAATGTTCCATAGGTACGTTGGTTTCTAAAAAGGTAGGCTAAGTAATAAAATAATATATAGGTGAAACGAACTTTGCGGGGGCAGCTAGTAATAAAATAAATACAAATCATAAAAATTACCAACCTCAGAGGGGCATTAAAGACATAGGTAATATAAATCGAGTGTATTAATATTATAGCGAAAGCTGTCGGATGTGTCTGTCAAATGAACTCAATAGCTTAGCATGTGCTAGTGTATAAACATGGATGAATCTATCAACTGATCGTTTCAATTAGTCGAGAAACGTACCTATATGTGTTTATAATTGTCTCAACCGTCTGTAAGGTTCAATGGTCACGCTTGGTTCAATGTATACAACATGTAAGCTCGATGCCCCGTGAAACAATTAACGAAAATAATATATGATCATCCTTCGTTCTGTTAGAGGCTAAACTTCCTTTTAATTAATAATGAGGGTAACATTTATTTACAGTACATTTTATTGTTTTATTAACCAATGAATATATAACCATTTAAAATGTATCAGTACCTTATACATTTAAAATGTACGTCGTAATGCAATTATAAAATTGGGATATTTATTAATAACAAAATGTAATAACTATTTCTTGACTAGGATTTATATTGTTTATTATAGATTCATCAAAGAAATATTGAAATTTTGCCTTAAAAGTGATGAAGCAATCCCTCAGTATAGAATACAAAGCTTTTTGGTGGATACTTTGGTGCGCGAATAGCGGAAGACGCGGACGGCGCCAAAATTTGTACATTATTTAGCACGTTACGGAGTTATTATTTATTATATCTAAGGTTTGTTACGTTTCGTGCACAGTCGCTAATTAAAAGGTACACTGCGACAGGTACCAAACTTTTTAATTTGTTTTAGTTTTCTATTTAAGCATTTTTTATTATAATTATTATTACTATGTAGGTCAGGAATATTGTAAAAACTGTTTATTTGTAGGTTGGAAAACAAAATTGTATTCCATTTTAAATCTCATATATCATATCATTTATTAGCTGTGACGTAATGAAAAGCCTGTAGCATTCCATGAATGGATTATAAATAGTTGTTCCTTAGATCAGCGTTCAACTAACAAAAACTATTAGGCTTCATAATGTGTCCGGTCACCGGGATGCTTTAAATAGTAGAGAATATTATTTTTACTCTATATTAACCACTCACGTAACAAGTGCTATTTGCTATGTAGTGCTGAAGACTGCCTGCGTCTGGCTATAGTCGGGCGTAACCCTGACGATTAAGGTAATCGCCAAGCTTATGGAACTAAGAAAGCCTGAGTGAGCAAACTGTACAGTGTACAGTCTTGGCTCGTGCAAATAGTCGACAACTTTTTTATAGTAATAGTAACATTAAATGGCTTTTTAATAATAATAGATTAAGTCTACCTTTCATCTATGACTGCATATTGATTTCATGGTACGTAACTATAAATAAATAAATAAATTTCTAATTCAACATGTTCTGAAGAAAAAAAATTAAGATTTTTTAATTTTTAATCCTTGTAAGGTAATCACAATTATGTGAATTTGGTTTTATGTAAGAAATACATTTTCACAGAAATGTGGGCCCGGGTGAATAAGGTTGGCAAGAGATATGATGGTTGGTATACTAATGTATCGCTTAGGTAATGGTATGGTTTAGGTGAGACTACGCTGCTGAAAGATTGTTCTGAGTTAGTAAGCGTAATGCAGTAAACATTTTACTTTTATATTTAAGTATTTGTGAAACTAAATATTCAACATTCAATTTAATATTTTAAAGTATTAAAGTTTCTATTTAAGTTTGTTATATAAATACCTACTCTTTCTAGTACATTTGATTGCATACATATTTGAATAATTTCGATATACAATAATAATTTGAAGTTATGTTTAACTTAAAGACTTTAATTATATTATTTAATTACTATCAACTGTGTTTAAAAACTTTTAATTACTTGAATATAAATTTGCGTAAAACTAAATTTATTCCAATAATTCAGCCACATCTCTATCTGTCAGGATGGCCGAGCGGTCTAAGGCGCCAGACTCAAGGAATACCTTGCCTACTATGTAGGTCTGAGCTGTTCTGGTCCTCTCTGAGGGCGTGGGTTCGAATCCCACTTCTGACAAATATTTTTAAACAATATCATATGTGTATTTTATACGTAATCCTAGACTAAACATTAAATCTTAATTTGCATGAAATTTATGCAACTCATTATTTAAACACCCATAAAATAAATAAATAATTGTAATGTAATTGATCGGCTTAATTCTCTCACTCTCTACGCTGAGAAATTGCATATTGTTGTTGGTGTTGGTCCCTGCTGACTCGATTCATCACCGCACAAGCCGTAATAATTCTAGATTTGATCACCACCACCGCACAACCTTGGTGGCTGGACGTCTTCCACGGTCCGCTTCACTCGGAATTTTCTTTCAAGAACTAGCGGACTGTAAAATCGGCTACCGGTGAAGGTCTTCATTGGGAGATACTACATTTAATTATTTAAAAAGATAGCTTATTTCTTTCTCAAAGACCGGTCACGCAGCCTCTGTGTAATGGGCTGCAGTGACTGCCTTTTATGGCTGTCCCGTAGGCTCGTTTACGCCTTTATATTAAAAAAAAACTAATTTTCTAATTCAAATTTCTAGAACTTTTGGTCTGACTTGACAATTTCTATTTGTATTGGATAGTTCATTTATCGAGGAAGACTTTATCTAATATTACGCTTCAATCATTAGGAGTGGATCAATAATATATGTTACAAAAACGGGAAGCATTTTAAATTAAGACGGCTCGTTGTGTGCACTGCGTAAACTGCGACGGCATATGTACTATTGATCGCAAACAATTAAATACAAACACATCAGTTTAATTTTGAACCTCTTTAAAGGCCGAAGACGCACCTAACATGGATATGGCTGACTTTTATTGATGAGGGCTCGTGCAAAACGTCAAATAGTACGCGTGCGTATATTAATGTACGGGTCTTATATAACGCGAGTGAAACCACAGGCAACTAGTTAGTAAATATGAATAGGAATATATGACGTAGGAAAGCATATTTGCTGTAAGTAGACAAAATACCTAAAGTGACTTTTACTCCATTAGAATAAAAAAATAATCCTTGTTTACATGAAAAAAAATTACATAGGTTTAAACCCGTACTTACTTATATTTTTTTAGTAAATTAAATGCTTATTAGACCAAAATCCATCATTTTAGACAATTTTACTTACAGAAAAAAAATCTCATTTTTTACTTTACAAATACTTACTTCTTCCCATTTAAAAACTTAACCTACTTACAGATTTTTATTTTACTTACAGAAGCTTAGGGAACCTACAGTTTTAGTTTTTTTACCATTTACAACATGTTATTACAACCAAACATTACATTACCAAATACCCACTGCATTTCTAGATCTAATCATAATTATAAACTCATCTTACATCTTGAATTGCAATTGAAATACCCAAATACATAAATTTACTGATACAGCATATTTACCGCCTGTAAATTGATAATATTTCGTACATTTTTCTTCCTTATTAACTTTAAATTTTATTAAAAACTGTATGTTAACTACCAAACACGTACTTATAGTAACTTTGGATAAAAATTTACATTGAAATGGTACTGGCATTAAATAAATATATTTTCAAAAATGTAACAATATATGGATAGGTTCGACACTATTAATTTTTTTTCCGAAATTAATTAAGTTTTTGGCTTGAACAATTGCAATATTCTACTTACAGAAATATGAATAGGAATATATATAAAGAATTACATTAGAATAGTTTTAAAGTACATCATTATTAATATATCTTTGATATATAAAAACACAATCACTCTTCAATTTCAGAGACTAAAGATTTTGTTATCATAAAAAAAATATTTGTCTGAATGCCATCTGAATATTTATTTTAAATATTTCGATAGCTATACTCATATGATTATAATTAGGTTGCTTAAATATATTACCATCTAACATTTCTGTTGTCGTTTCATACCGACGGCGGCTTGAAATTGGCGCGGCGCGTAAGATTATCTATTATAATATTTATTATAAAACAGTCAATCACGACATCTGATACAGAAATATATTATTTAACCACATTTATATACTATTTCATAGAATCAGTTTAAACAAAATTGTAGCTTAATTAAAAATATACTTAATCTACTGAAATTGACTCACAAAACTTTAATACGAAGAAATCAGTTTTAAGTATCAAAAATCTTGATACAGTTAGATTTTTTAAAGTCCAATTAATTATTCAAGTTTGTTAAATGAAGATTTAAATATGAAGTATCAATTTTATTTTTTTAATTTTTTTTCTAACAAGACTACTTGGCAGCCAAATAATTTTTTTTTATTATAACAAAAATTTCTGGCCTTCTTAAACCATATTTTTAGAGGAACCATATAAATTTCAAAAGCCGTCATCACTCACCAGCACTTTCAATAGCTCCGGGCGATACTGGTACGGCTTCACACTCTCTATCTCTGTCCTCCCGTCTCTGTTCAAACTCACTCACTCTCTGTCTCGTCCCATTTAGCCCCAGTATTGCGTCTATCGTATGCCGCGGGCCCTGACTAACACTAGGCACTTGAGTCAAGCCTAACCTAGACTTCACGGCGTCGAAACTCTGGTTAAGATGCATCTGTTGCGCGTGAAAGAACATTCCCATACGATTTAACGTTTCCAAGTTCTGCTGATGCTGTGACATCGCTAACGACTGATCCGTAACATTAATGGAAGAGGTGGAATTGGGACTACTCATGTGAGACCGCGGGCTGTTGGTGTCGGAGCGGTCCGGCGTGTGGGAGCCGTAGAAACGGTCTTCCGGCACATCCATTATGCGCGGCTGCGGGAGCGTGACTGAGCGCGCGCGTCTGCGGGCGCTCGGGGTTGCGAAAGGGGCGGAGTTTGGGCTCGGGGGCGAAATTGCCCATTGAAAGTGCGAATTTTGGGGTCGCGAAGTGATTTTGTTTGGGAAAGCACGAAGAGTATTAGCATTTTCCCCTTCGTTCCTCGCGGTACTGAATCGTTCAATAGTGTTTTCGTCTGATTGGGTCGATTGTGAGAAGTGTTAGTTCTTTGAAATGTTTGTAGGATTAGTTTGCGCCACGACAATAAAGGACTCTTTATGAGTCTTATTGTGTAATTGACTTGTGTAGGTGGTGAAGAAGTCTTTTTAAAACCATAGTTTTTGCAAACAAACTACATTAGGTATATGTACTAGCAAAATTAATGGTTTTGAGAAATAAAGAGACGATTCATAAGAAATTTTAACGTGGTTGTGTTTCAATGCTCTAAATCTTTTGTCATTTTTTCCATTTTTAAACAAGATAAAATTATTAAATTTACTTTTTATATGTATGCATGCGTTCTATTGCAGCTTTAGTATTAACTAATGAGTGAAACAGCGGTCAAGTGCGAGCGAGCAAACACCCGGACAACTGTCTGTTAGCACACCAATTTAACCAAATCGGTTAACCGGTAACCCAACAATAACAGCTCACAATCACCGTTTCAATACAACCTTTCATCAATGTTGTATTTACAAATTTAAACTTAATTACTTGTAAATAAAGATTAATTTTGGATAAAGTTTGTAATGTCAATAGGCCGCTTTGGAGTCGCATGCAAACGGCCGTCGTTGTAGCTGTCTCACGGTGAAGTTGGCCGGTTCCTCTCTCGCTCATCTCAGTGTAGCGACGGTTGCTAGGGGGCGGGGCCGGTGTGACGTCACGTCGCGATCAGCCAATCAGGCGCGTAGATTTTTTTGTGTAAGTCGATCTTTTGTTGGCGTTTCTTTTGTCGCGGGCGCGTGAGGGTTGACTTCGACTAGTTGCTACGAAATAACATTAGCTTTTGACGGGTTTTATTTTTTTAATTGTCCGCGTCATTAGTAGCTCGTTATCTTAGGACTGGTTACTGAACAAATTGCTTCACAAAATTCTATTAACTTTATTACAAGTGAAATTGTTTTCGGAGATTATGTTTTTACTAAGTTAGCGAATTTTTAAGGTGTTTCAAAGTGGATTTAACTTTTTTAAGTTTCATATAAAATGCGTTATATCTATAAAGATTATCTTACATTTTATAATTTTAAGATCTTGGTAATAAGCAGGTTAAAGTAGTTTATAAAAAATGATAATTATCAATACCCTACTAATGGAATAAATCACTTAGTGTGCTTAGATTAAAATCTGCTCACGTAGACACTTATTGCCAGTAGACACTATCTCTCGCAATTGTGTATGTTCTAAGTTGCAGAAAATTAAAAAAAAAATCGCGGTTCTGTTGTTTTTTCCATCGGTAATATATTACTTAAGAAAACGACCTTCCTGATTTCATGATCCTTCAAGAAAAGAGCTTACCAATTATTAAAAGGCCTGCAACGCATCTGCGAGCCTCTTGGCCGCTTGCCCCCAGTTATATAAAAAAATACACAGTTCAAATTCTACTACTTTAAGAATCTTTAAAAGGAACAAGTTTATTTAAATAGGAACTTTACTTGACGTGAAATATGCCAAATTGAAGTATTCCCTATTTTTCTTAAAATATTTTTTTTAATTTACTCCAGTTTTTGTAAGTTTGAAAGTTATAGTGTGAATCTGGAGGATATTTGTTTTGTTACTTTAAAAATGAAATCACTGATTACGTTAGTTATTTTATATTAAATGGCCTAATTTTACATTTACCGAGTTGTTATCATCGTGCTAGAACTTAAAGGGCCCATATTCCAACCAACGAACATTACCAACATTAAAAATATGGAATTAAATAGCTTCATCGCGTAGTCCTATAACATGAGACACAGAATAAAGTGCATAACAATGATTGCGGTGCTTATTGAATATTTGAACATTCTCCATTGATTACTTTCACGCGAACATTATTAATTATTTGCACGGCTTTTCAATTTTTCAAATGGATTCAATTGAAAAGCATCACAATTATTTATTCAACCGTTATTATTATTACAATGTTGTTCACCAAAATTAGCTTGTGTATAGTGAAATAATACATTTGTTGTAGGTAAATTGCAATTATAAATGCATGGCATAAAGGCATGGATTTCCTAATTCTTCATGTATTATATTTTCATAGACATAGATATTACATTTATTACCAACGAAACACACACACAGTAACACAAAATAGTAATAATCAAAAAAAGATAGAAAAATAACTACTTAAAGAATAATACATAAGAAGAATACATATCAAGTGCGTAATGTGTATGTGTTGTGGTTGTAAATAGCCCTGGCTTAGCATTTTGCTGAGGATCCGACGTTTTTAACCCTACTTAGATATTTTTTATTAAGAATATAAGATATTGCTTCAAATATTTCCAACATTTTCTTACTAACCTTTACAAGAGTCGCCAATCTCGGTTACCACACAGTTGATCAATCGATGATCGAATGATCGTTGTCAGAAGTATAACTCAATGTAGTTTTGTACTTCAGGACAAACACGCCAGGTCCCGACAACATCTATCAGACATCCGATTGCGAACAAAGTCAGGTCTGGATAAGGGTTACGTAAATAACACAATTGAAAATCAACCCCAAGTGACTTATTAGGGACAGGGTTCGGATACTTGTGGAAGAGTGCAAGCGTTTCTTAAGCGTGATTACCTAATTTATATAGTGAGCTTATGTTATTAATAAATTAATCACGACTTAACGAGTAGGTATGTGGGCCAAAATACTTTTTAATGCCTAATCCGAGAATACGATATTCATTTTATTTTTTAAATGAAAATAATTATTTTCTAGTATTGTCTTTGATTTACATAACCTTTACACATTTAAAAACTGTCAGAACGCTTAAGCACGCGAAACGTCGGATATTCATTTTATTTTAGTTATAAATGAAAATAATACATATTTTTCTTTAATTATTTTCTTACTTTTTTATGCTATGATATGTTGTAGATCCATTTGTGATATACCTACCTCTGCAGCGTTAGTTTTAACGATTTATCTGTATTTGTGGCATATGTATGTATATTATGAGACTTCCGCACTTAGACGCCTATTTGGTCCATTGAACGTAAAGTTCTAGCTAATTAAGGCAACCCTGCTCCTTCCAGAAGCTCAGAAATTTCCTGGGCACTTCGCAGGCTTGAAGGAGCAATCTAGGATTTATTTTCGTTGGGAGGCCACAGCCACACATTCCTGGACGACGTGACTGATTCCTCTGTCTTAAACAGTCTCTGATAATGAGAAGTTACTTAAGACAATTAAAGATTTAAACGTCTACAGTATTTATAAGAGAGAACATAGGAATTTATTCCGAATCAAAGTGTATGAAATAATGTTAACAATGTTAATGTATAATATTGATAATTGTGGAGTTAATGAGTATGTAATAATTTTAGCCGGACGATACTGTACGCACATGACGTCACAGATTGGACACCACTCGATATAGGGCTGCTAACTATTATGAATAGTGTTTGTTGAAATATATTTTTTTAAAGAACTGTGGGCAAACGGGTAAGAGGCTCACCTGATGTTAAGAGATACCGACGCCTACGGACACTCTCAATGCCAGAGGGCTCGCGAGTTTTTAAGAATTTACGGTCTTTTCTTGGAATTGGTTCGAAAATACTTCAGTTTGCAGCTAGATCCACATAGAGGTCGTGCGCGGCAAAAACTGCCTTGGAAAAACGCTCAGTTGTGGAACGGCAGAAAACGAAATTCCACCCGAATCACCTCGACGTCCGATAATGAAACTCAGCTACAGGAATTAATCCGAACAACTCCCCTGAACGCTCTCCGTGGTAAATGCAGTAGAAAATGCAGAGTGACCCCACATCTCTACGCAACGCGAAGGGATCCAGCCGCTAACAACATCAGATGAGCCTCCTGCCCGTTTGCCCTTTGCTCTAAAAATACTATTTAATATGAACGTTTTGATATCCCTAGCGACCTGTCAGTTGACAGCGGGCTCAGTAATTGTTGAATGAGGCAGCATTAAAGCGCCAATTAATCGACATTGATTGGTTTTCATAGTACCCCCTCACCCCACCTCTCCGGCCCTATGAGGGGACGCTATTGGCCCAGCAGTTTGGTTTGGTTATTACCAATGTTGTGGACATTAGAATTTGATTAAATACACCGAATTTCACATTTGTTTACCTAATGGAGTAGTTATTAAATTTTGGGCGAGGTTAACGATATTTCAAATCACCGCCTCAGTGGCTATTTAATGCTTATAAGCTACGATACAGAAGGATGTATATCCTTCGTCTTCAACCTTAGAAAAAAAATCAGTGGCGCTACAACCTCTTTAAGTCTGGGCCTCAGATTTCTGAATTTGTTTCATCATCATTTTTAAATCTAATAGGCAAGTAGGTGATCAGCCTCCAGTGCCTGACACACGCCGTCAACTTTTTGGGTCTAAGACATGTCGGTTTTCCCACGATGTTTTCCTTCACCGTTCGAGCGAATGTTAAATGCGCACATAGAAAGAAAGTCCTTTGGTGCACAGCCAGGGATCGAACCTACGACCTCAGGGATGAGAGTCGCACGCTGAAGTCACTAGGCCAATACTGCTCTTAGAAATGCTTTTACTGACATAAAATATGTATGTTAAAAGAAACGGTCTACCCCGTGTTCTCTTGGATTGTAACGTTCTGTTTACGTTGTATTCTTTAAACCCTGTTAGACTTAATCTGTAAATAAAGCTCTTCCATAATTTATGTATAGCAACAGAAACGTGTTAATTTTGTTTAGGAATTTTCTCCTCGAAGAAACTATTCATTTTGTTGTAAATTTAACATATCAATCAATCTGTGGGTAGGTACTTACGTAATCACCGTTATTATTCATAAGA